CAGCTCTATCATCATTTTATGAACGTTATTTTCCTTTAATTTTTGTATTTTTCACAAATTTATTATAAAATAAAAAAATATTAATGTCAAAATATACAGGGTGCTTACTTTGGAATACCACAATTTTAAATCTTAATAAGCCACATATATTTATTATTATTATTATAATTGATTATATAATATTAATACCCAAACTTTAAATTTTTTTGGCAACATGTTCTTTGTTGTTATTGTTATAATCATGTGTTTAAAATGGTTATTTTCAAACTCATAAATCAAAAGAAGTTACATGAATACACAGTTACATGAATATTGAAACTTGTTGCAGTTGTGCCGGTTTTTGAAGTTTTAATTAATATAGTAACCAAAGTCCATCTGTTATTTTTTGTTTAGAATTTGCCTTCTCATTCAAGAAACTAAAAGAATATTAACTTCTCTATTACTCAGAAAAGACAGTCTATGAGGCTACAGAAATTTTGGTATGGTTCCATATCCAAGATGTAAATGACAGAAATGTCTATACCATTACGATCTGCTATGTTGTTCGGTTGGGTCAGTCTGACAAGTGAATAGCATGGAAACATAATATATTAATTAGGGAAAGGGGGTAGGATGAATACATTGCATCCTTTTCCCCATGTTACAGTAACATATTAACAAAGAGCTCCAACCGACCTGAATGGGACAAAAGGCCAGACCATTAACTAAGTAGCTCCTTGTCAAGCATGACAAGAACTATCTAGTATCACATAAAATTTATAATTGCATATACTATTCTATGATGATGACCTGCACTTAAAATATTTGTTTCATTTTAAAAATCTTTCATTAATTTATCAGTTATTATGTGTTTGTTCAGTTTAATTTCAATTTTCTATTATTAATCTGTTCATAATGGACCAGACCCATTGAAAAACAGCTGTGATCAATAAAGAAATCAACATTGCTATTGTCATCACACGAAAACAGTGTCGAGTGAAAGTGAGTCAATGGGAGAATAAATGGGAATGTCTCAAGGCATTGTTCATGTTCATGTAATATTGCATGATTGTTTTGCACAGGACATTCATCTGAACAACATGGATTCTATGTTTACTCACATTTGAACAGATGCAGGTGCATGTTGATCTGCCAAATAAAGAAAACAAAAGCTTGAGGTGCCTAGCAATGTTTATTGGATGCTATAGTAACCAGAGATTATTCCTAGATTCATCATTAATTAAGATCTTGAGTCAAAGTAATAAAATTCTGTACAGAAAATCACTTTCTCCTTCACCTAAAAAAATCTGTTTTGCTTTCTTTGGTAAGATGGCGATTGTCATACTTTTAGTTGTGCTGCAATGACTTATCAATATGCATCACACCATACAACCATCATTGTTGCAAATTACAGCAGTGTTCTGTAATATTTGCAAGTGTGTATTCTGAAGAGAAATGCCTAATACAGCTGGTAATACCCAAGAATCGACTAATGTCAGATTACTTAATGCCTCAAACTAGTGAACAGCCAAATTATTGCGATTGTAATGTACTTTCAAAAGATGGTTTCATGCTGTTTTCAAACCAATGCACATCGGGAAGCATTTTGGGCATTTATAATTTAAAACAGTATTTTAATAAAAGGATAAATGAAATAAAGGACTTTTACTACTTAAACTTTCATTAATTTTTAATACTATAAATCAGGTTAGTTTGTGAAACTTTTTGTGTTTTTTTTACATTAATTACTAGATTATTGAACTAAACATGTCGTTTGTTTTCCATTTTAGGAAGATTTAATATTGATCTACCTTTATACAGAGTTCTTAATTGTTAATTTATTGTTTTAAACAACATTTTCAAAAACATTTTATCCTATCACTCGGGTAACTTTGTGAAAGTATGTTTGCTGCATAAATCTAAATTGGATGCCATGTCTCAATGTTACTCTGCAACAATTGCTAGTAGAAAAAGAAAAAAAGGAAATAAAAATCATTCATCAAAACTAATTCAATAGTAGCACCCTCAAAAATTACAATTTGAAGATAATCTAGAAGAAAAAAACAATTGGTTCAGTCTCTATTATACAAGATGTTTTATTTCATCATCTGCATCTCTTTATTCTGCAATTTTACTTCCTATGCTATGACCAGATTCTTTATATACTACAGTTGTCCCTCTATAGTCCGACGTTTTTTAATCCGACATGCTCAGTAGTCCGACGCACCTCCCGTCAAGGTACCCATCCCCGTTACGTGTCTGCTTGCACAGAAGCATGTCGCGATGTGAATCTCCCAATCCAATTCTTACTCGATGACACACATTTCGTGTGTTTTATGTGAGCAGTTCTGTTCGAACAGTTGGAGTAGAGAATATTGTAAGTTACTGCTAGCAAAACAATGCAAAATATGTAATTATTTTCGGTAATCCG